CGGGGATGTCGTTCTCCCCCTGTACTCGGCCTTGGTGAGGCCGCAGCGGGAGTACTGTGTCCAGTTTTGGGCCCCACCATTCAAAAAGGATGCGGAGAAGCTTGAGAGAGTGCAGAGAAGAGCCACGCGCATGCTCAGAGGTCAGGGAAGCAGACCCTACGATGACAGGCTGAGAGCCCTGGGGCTCTTTAGCCTGGAAAAGCGCAGGCTCAGGGGCGACCTGGTGGCCACCTACAAGTTTATCGGGGTGACCACCAGCATCTGGAGGAACATCTGTTCAGCAGAGCACCCCAAGGGATGATGAGGTTGAACAGTTACAAACTCCTGCAAGAGCGTTTCAGGCTGGACGTAAGGAAGACCTTTACTGGCCAAACCCCCAAGGTCTGGAACAGCCTGCCATCGGAGGTGGGTCAAGCACCCACTCTGAGCGCCTTCAACATTTGGATGCTTATCTCGCTGGGATCCTGTGACCCCAGCTGACTTCCTGCCCCTGGGGCGGGGGCTGGACTCGATCTTGCGAGGTCCCTTCCCGCCCGAATGTCTGTGAAATCTATGAAATCCACCCATACCATACTCTGTGCGTGCATCTATCCAGTCCACACTCCACCTCTCCACCAATCTCTCCACTCCACATCCTGTTTGTCCGTCTGTCCATCCATCTGTGCCGCATGCCAGCTCTCTACCTATGCATGCCTATCCTGAATAGAAATGCTCCTGCCACTGCTGGCGTGTTAACAACCACGGGGTGAAGAGATTAGAAAGAATCAGGTAGACGATAATGAACTGCCTGAATAGAAATGCCCCTGCCACTGCCAGGCTTTTGGCTTGAAACTTTGGGTGGAGCATATTTCCACACATGCACCTTGTATGGCAAGGCAGAATAAAGAGAAAAGATAGTCTCGAGTTATGAAACCAAACTGAACCCTGGGTGGACTCACCCTTCCCTTTCTGGCTGAACTAAACCTGAAACACTAGCTGCTGCTGGAAGTCTGGCCTCCAGGGCTGGATCTCCGAGTCTGAAAAAAAAGGCCATGAAAGAGGAAGACCTGGAGCAGATAGCGGGCCACAAAACTGCTCCAGGGAAACACTGCCACATACCACGTGCCCCCCTCCAAGGAGACACACGCCTTGTTTATGGTATTGCTTTTATTAATGCTGGGACACAGCACCACATATAGACCATGATAAAAAAATATAGCTCTAAGAAGATACAGCAGGGGGAAAGGATCCACAAGGCTGATGTCTTTGATGGGACCAACCTGGGAGGAAATAGTGGGCTTGAAGGAAAAGTAAATCGTGGATCCGTGAGGAGGGCTTTTTTGGCAGGTGGAGAGGAAAGGAGCCAGGGAGAGATCAAAGCTTACTGAAAGGGCAGAAACAGAAATGGCTTTAGCAGAGACATCCGCAGTGAGGGGATACTTTAAGGCTGGAGTATCGAAGATATGGCTGGATCCGGCCCACGGCGCTGTATTACAGTTGGACACCCGTGTTTTAATGAGATCTTCTGGACCGGGACAAGATGCAGTGCTGAGGAGACATCTGAAGTCGGGGGTGGGAGCATTGCTGGGCCCCTGGAACCCAATCCCAGTGCAGGGAGGGTGGGAGGGGCAGTGCTATGACCCCAGGGCCCAGGGGCCCTGAGTCTACATCAGAGAGCTCCACCCCCACCCGGGATTGGATCATTTGCCAAGCACTTGAGTGCAGCTGCTTCTGGGGAGGAGCTCCCCAGACATAGGGATTACCATATCTTCTCGCATATGATGCACCCCTGACGCATAAGCAGCACCTTGTTGAGTTGCAGCCACGAAGGAGCTGCTCCCTGCTGATGTGATTCTCGGTGGAGCCTGCTCATACCATATTTCACATGTAGAACAGGCACTATTGAAAATCAAGCTGCTGGTGGGGTGGAAAAAAGGGGGTGAGAGAATAGGGTACTGCTGTTATTGCTACGTCTCCTTGCAGCCTCTCGTTCGATGGGACTCACCAAAACGGTCCCCTCTTTCTCTCCTATGCAAGGCGTCTGCTGTAGAAGCCAGGTAGAGGAAGAAGGTGGTGGAACGATAATGAAAGAGTAATTAAGGCAGTGTCCAGCAACGTTTTGGGGCCCCTTGGAAACAGAGCCGCATCATCAGCCCTACTTTCTCACATGCAACATGCCTCCGACACGCATCATGGTTTTGAGGCAGAATGATGAAAACATATTCCCCCCTGCCAAATTCAATCGTCAGCTGACTCACCCTCCCTTCCCTGCTGAAATCCAGCTGAAATGCAAGCTGCTGCTGAAGTCTGGTCTCCGTGGATGCATATACAGTGTTGAAAAGGCGGCCACAAAACAGAGCAGCTTGCAGACAGCAAAAATGCCCGAGGAAATACTCCCTTGATTAGTGGAACCTCAAGAAGGTTAAAAAAAGGAGACATGATTGTTAACGGAGATATGATGGCATGTCATTAAATCATTGCCTGAGTAGTACGGCCACAGTAGAGCAGGAATCAAATCGGGGTGGACAAATCAGCCTAGGGCACACCTCAATTTTGACACGGGGTGGGGGGACACTTTGAGGGGGGGAAGATGCATGTTGTACATGAGAAAATATTGAAGTTGCATTAATTTCCCTCCAGATCTGCAACGAGATGCTGCTCGTGCTTTTTCAACGCCGCGTAGAATTTATCCTTGCAGGCCACGTTCCAGCCCCGGACGCAGTCGTAGAGGCTGCGCATCTTCTCCTGTGAAGTGCGCTGGCTCCGAATAGTATCGTACTGCTCAGGCTGGAGGACGTCCCCATGCAGCTCATCTAGGATGGGGCTCACAGTGGTGACCCGGTCAATCAGGCTTTTCCGGTGCCTATCGATGAAATGCTCCCCTGAGAAGGATACACAGGCGAGAGGTATGACTAGGGAGAGGCCGTTATCTGCCCTGGTTGGAATTTGGGGCACGATGGCCCTAAGAGACCAGCAAGCGGTGAACATGTACCGTATATTTCCACGTACACGCGCACCTTCCCCCCTACAATGGAGGGGATTTGAGCGGTTAGAGCCCAGGGGCTGTATAACAGCCTCTCAGCAGTGTCGCAAAGCGGGTTGGTAGGTAGAAGCCCACATCCAGGTTAAAGAAGTGGAGGGGAATCACTTCCTCTAGGGCCTTTCATCAGATCATAAAGACGGCGGGGTGGGAGGGACCTCCAGAGGTCCCCGTGAGTCCTCTGGATCAGCCCTGTCCAAACCATCCCGGACAAACCCGGTAAAATGACTGTCCATCCTAACACAGCGCCAAGTATCACACCGCCTGCCTGGGTCTGTACCAATCTGACCAGGGAGTAAATTCCTTCCTGACCCCTAACGCAGCACCGGTCTGACCCTGAGAGGAGGGGCAAGACTCTGGAGCCTGGAGCCTTTGGGTTTGGTCCTAGCAGGAGCATGGCCCAGTGATGGCGTCCACAGCTCCCTTGGGTGTAGGCCTAGCTACTACTCAATCATCCTTGCCCAGCAGGTGTTCAGCTTCTCCTTGGAGACCTCCAGTGACGGAGAGTACACCTCTCCCCTAGGAACAGGCCTAGCTACATCTAGATCATCCCTGACCGGTGGCTCTCCAAGCTCTTCTTGAACCCCCCCAGTGATGGAGAGTCCACAATTCCCCTTGTGACACTAGATCATCCTTGCCCAGTGGGTGTCCAGCTTCTTCTCGAACCCATCCAGTGATGGAGAGTTCGTAACTCCTCTAGGTGTAGGCCTAGCTATGCCTAGATCAACCCCAGCCAGTAGCTGTCTAGCATCTCCTCGAACCCTCCAGTGACAGAGTCCACCTCTCCCCTAGGTTTAGGCTTAGTGATGCCTAGATTATCCCCAACCAGTGGTTGATGCCTAGATTATCATCCAACCTCCCCTTGAAGACCTCCAGTGATGGAGAGTCCCTAATGTCCCTAGGCATCTATTCCATCACCTCGGTGACTGTGGGCATCAGGCGTCAGACAATCTCCAAGGTGCAACCACCATCTACAGTGTCACTTCCCATGTGACTCACCTGCCCGGCTCGCCGTGGCATTAGCGGGTGGTCCTGGAAGCTGATTGCTGCTGCCACATGCTGCAGGAGAGAAAAAAAGCGGGCGTGAGAGACTGGGTGGATCTGGAGGCGGGGTGCAGCGATACCGCACCCTTTGACCCCTGCTGTACCCGGGATCACTGCCCAGGAGAGGCAGCAGCATTTCTATTCAGGCAGCGCTGAGTTGCTGTGATCGACCCGATTCCTGCTCCTCTCTCCACTCCTTAGGTGTTAAGCACCCTCCCTCGTTTTTCCTGGGCTTGATCTTCCAGTGGTCAAGCTCCCCTTCTGCCCTGTTACTAAACTCGGTAATCTGATCTCTCCGATTGTGGCCGGACAGCCCTTCCTTCCCATTTCCTCTCCGCCCCGTTCTGCTTTCGATTTTGACTTTCATTTTCACTTGTCCCTGCCCCCAAGTTTAACCCGTAGTTTTGTACGAACACAGGAAGGGGCATTTCCTGCATCGGACCCCAAGCCTGTCTTGCCCTGTTTCCTAAATCACCAGGGGGCTGGAAGGGAGAGCGAGCTGGGGTTTCCCCCTTCATCCACTCTCCCCCCTCATCCCCCCTCTCTTGCAATTCGATTCAGAGGTTGTGCACCTCACTGCCACTCTCGATATCAACCAATGCCCTTTCCCTCCAAGAACGGGTCCCATCCCTTTGGGAATCCGGCTACATCCAGGGGGCAATATGTCCCACCCTCATTCCAACGTTGGGGGGGGCTGTTGTTTTCCTCATTTCATTTGGTGACCCCTCGTTCTCGTATTGGGAGAGAGCTGGGGCTAAATCCCTGTGGGCTTTCGCTTCGCCACTTCATTGTGTCCCCCTTCTCCTGCCCCCCACCCCACCTCCCTCCAGCCTCTCTGTACAAAACAGGACAGGCCTATCTGTCCACCCACCACCCCTGCACTCCCTCTGTCCATCTAGCCAGCCATCTATGCACCCCATATGCTGCCCATCCATCTGTCCCTCTGTCCACCCCAGTCCTTCAATCCGCCTCTCCATCCCACCCTTTATCCATCTACGTACACCGCCCCCCCCCCCCCCCCCCCGCTGTATCCATCTATTCCCCACGGCACACTATCTATCCATGTATCCCCCCAAACTCACTCTATCCATCTATCCCTGACACACTCCATCTATCCACCCCACGCTCTTGCCCATGTATCCCCCAGAAACTCACTCCATCCAGCTATCTATCCCCCTGACACACACTGTCCGTCCACGTATCCGCTCACATTCAATTTATCCATCTATCCCCTCCACACCCCCTGCATCCCCCCACTCACTCTATCCATCTATCCTCTCTCTCTCTCGTTCGGTCTCTCCTTCCATGGCAGCCCCTCCGCACCACTCATCATCCCTGCTGCCCTTCTCCGGACCTGCCTCCTTTTGGGGCAGGTTGGCAAGCTGGGCTGACTCGATCTCGACCATGGGGTTGCATCCACAAAAAGATCCCCCCAAACCCCCCACCCCGGATACATTGCGACACTACAGCCACCCCTTCTCCTGCACGGGGAAGCCTCTTACCGGCAGCAAAGTCACTGGCCACGTTGTTCATGTTGATGCCTCTCAGCACCCCAAGGGTCACCTCCTGGGCATAGTCCTCCTGGTAAAAACTGATGAGCTTGTCCGTAAGGTCCAGCCGGTCGGCTCTTTCCAGCTGGCCCCAGGGGATTCTGTTGTACCCGGACTTCACCGGGAACCCCTTGAGTTTGAACTTGAACTCCCTGAACTTGGCATCTTCGAGGTCATCCAGGGCAGCGATCAGGGCATCCCGCACGTTCGCCATGCCACCAGCTCGGACGGCCTATCTGCACCAGAAAAAAAAATGCCCGGGAGCTGCTTCACAAACAGGGCCAAGCCCTTTCCAGGAAACAGATTTCAAATGCTCCCTCCGTTACTTCCTCCTTTCTTCTCCACGCCCCTCGCTCTGACAGAGAAAGAAACAGAGCCTCGAATGCATCTGGCAGCTCTTCTGGACGCCTGCGAGAACCACAAAACTCTGGCTGAGCTCACATCTGGAGGTCACAGCCTTTATTAACCCCTCCCTCAACATCCCCCAGCTGTGAGCTTCTGATGGTGGGAAAAAATAAATCCGCGGATACGGGGCGGCGGGGCTCTCCCGGCCCTCCATTCTCAACGGCAAGGACTCCCGTCTCCGGGGGCACTTGTACACGTAACGAATGCGCTCTGAAAGGGGGTTATCGAGCGCCTCCAACTCGGCCCTTTTTTTTAGCTCCCGTGAGCTGACTTTTGTGGCGTGCGGTTCTGGTCTGGCTCTCTCTCCAGAGCTGCCCTTGGAGCCCAGAAAAGCCTTCACGCTCAAAAATAGGCCATGCTTTTGGCCTGCTTCTGGGATTGCCCCAAGGATTAAGGGGAAAATCCGCTCCACAAAGGATCTCGTGGCTCCCAGGGTGCGTTGTCACCTGGGTCGGGGTTCACCACGTGGGCATGTGACCCTTTTACAGTGATTTTCTTTCCGCCCTTCATTAGATCTACATAGGTGCAATTAATGTTTTGTAATTACTCAATTGGAGTCACTCCAGATTGACTCTGGATTTCTGTTGGGGTCCCGTGATCAGAACCCACTTCCACTTACGCCCACCTTGCTGGGTTCACTCTGGATTTCTGTTTCCACTCCCGCTCTCCAGGCTGGAGTCTCTCTGGATCCACCCTGGATTTCTATCAGGGTCCCTGGACCCTGACTCTGTTCCCACTCATGCTCACATTACTGGATCCACTCCAGATTCACTCTAGATTTGTTTTCCACTATCACTCCTGCTTGGAGTCTCTCTGGATTTCTATCAGGCTCCCCGGGGCCCAATTCTGTTCCCACTCCCATTCCCATTACTGGATTCACTCGAGACTCACTCTGGATTTCTGTTGGTGTCCCCAGGCTCTGACTCTTTTCCCACTCACTGGATTGGAGTCACTCCAGATCCACATCCCCAGAGAGGGGCTAAAGAGAAATGCAAACTCATGCAAACGTCCTTTGCCCCTGCTGGGGGTGGAACCTGGCGTGTAAAGAGCCAGGGAGATGGGTGCCAAAGGGTGGGTCAATTATTAATTGCAGGGATCCCGTGGTGCCAGCTCCCGGCTTGGAGCCAATGCACAGGTGGCTTAGAGGCCGACTGAGTCAGAGATACAGTCTCTGCTCGTGTTATAAGTGGCCGGTCCCCCACCCTTCCGCTCTGCCCCAGAGCTGGCCGCATCTCAGCCCTTCCTTAAGCAGTGTTATATGTGGTCATTATGCCTCCTTGTGCTCTGCCCCAGAGCTGGCTGCATCTGAGTGCTTCCCTCAGGATGTGAGGGAATGTCTGTGTGTATGTGCTTTGAGTGACTAGGTTGTGTGTGCATGTGTTGGATGGTGTGCGTGTGTGTGTGTTTGTGTGTGCGCGCGCGCATGTGTATATTGGGTACCTAGGCTGTGTGTGCATGTGTTGGATGCCTGGGGTGTGCGTGTGCTCCAGACACTTAGGGGTGCGTGTGTTTGTTCGTGCCCCTCCATGCAGCCAAGGGAGGCAGCGCTGCGGGCGGGTCTGCTCCCACCTCCCGGCTCCTTCCTGCTCCGCTCCCTGCGGCCTCCGCGCTGCCGGCCGGCCGGGTACTGCAGTGCCTGGGACCCTGGCATCCGGGATGTGTGCGCACGCACACACACACACGCACACGCACAGGAGCCAGGCATCCAGGACACGCCCCCCTTGGAAACTAGGGGTCTGAGACAGACACAAACCAGGGGTCTCAGACACATGCCCCCCACCCCCAATCCAACACACACACACACACACACACACACAGAACCCATGTGCCAAAACACATGTGCGTACATGCACCCCCCAAGGAACCAAGACGTGCACAAACACAAATGTCCAGGACACGGACAGACACACACATACACCCAAGTGTCTGGTAACACAAACAAACAACCCAGGCGTCCAGGACACACACACACAGAACCCAGCTGCCAGGACACATGTGCACATACGCACACTCACACATAACCCCAGTGCTACAACATGCACACAGACACAAACATACATACACACACACTGAAACACAACTCAGGTGCCTGCATGCGTACACAAATGCGCACACACACACACACCGAACTCAGGTGCCCAGAGTAGACAGATGCACACACACATGCACAGACAGAGCCCTGGTTACAGGACAGACAGACAGACAGGCACACACAACCCAGGCCCCAGGACACACACACATACAGAACCCAGGTGCCCGGGACAGATGTGCATACACACACACACACACACACACACACACAATCCAGGTGCCTGGGACAGACACAGACACAAATCCCAGGACTCAGGATGCACATGCACACGCACAGAAACCAGGTGCCCAGGAGAGACAGACAGACAAGACAGACAGACACATTCACACACACAAAACCCAGACCCCAGAACACACACACACACACAGAACCCAGGTGCCCGCCAGATGCATACATACACACACAGACACACTCACACAGGCCCCAGGACGCACACGCATACAGAACCCAGGTGCCTGGGCCAGACAGACACACACACACACACACACACACACACACAGGTGGCAGCACACACACACAAAACCCAGACCCCAGGACACACACATATATAGAACCCAGGTGCCCAGGAAAGATGTGCACGCGTGCATGCATACACACAACCCAGCACAACACACAACACGACAGACACGACAGACAGACAGATGCACCCCTTCTTCCGCCTGGCATACACACACAACGCCCCTAAAGCACCCAAGACACACATATGCAAATTTTCAGGACACAGACACACACACACCCCCCTAAGCGTTCAGAACACACAAACACACACAGAACCCAGGTATCCCACACACACACACACACACACACACACACACCCCCGCCAGGCATCTGGCACACACACATGCACGCACACACAGAACCCTTGTGCCAGAATGCCAGGACAAAACGCAGGTGCCAGGAGAAAAGTGTGCACATGCACACACTCACTCACAGAACCCTGGTGCCACAACATGCACGCGCGCGCACACACACACAGAAACACAACCCAGGTGCCAGCACTCATGCACACATGTGCACGCATGCACACACACGCATAGAACCCAGGTGCCCAAGACAGACGGACAGATGCACACACACACATGCACACACAGAACCCAGGTCACAGGGGACACACACACTCCAGGCCCCACATACAGACCCCAGGTGCTTGGGACAGACGTGCACATGGATGTGGATACAGACACACACGCACGCCCCAGGCCCCAGGATGCGCACACATACAGAACCGAGGTGCCCCCCCCACACACCTAAGCACAGCGCGGGTGGTAGTTCTACACCGACCCAAGATGCCGGATGCGTCGGGTCCCCCCCAGCCCCGCCCCTGGGATTCTGCACTAACTTTGGCCCAGGCTCTTTGGGTTTTGCAAACGCCCGGTGAGAAATTAGCAGACAAGTCGATGCCGCAGCACAGCTACCTTGGTTTCTGCCCTCGATCCACACCCGAATATGGCGGGGCGCAACCTGGGTGCCTCGCCGTTCTGGGCGGGTGGCTGGTCCCAGCAGGAGCTTTGGCCCAGCACAGTGCCCATTCCCAGCGCCTCTCGGGGAGGTTTAACCCCCTCACTCCCAACCATGTAGCAAAAAGGGGGGGCACGGGCAACCAGCAAAGCCCAAAAGCTTGGTAGATACCCCAGGTACAACTAGGCCTAGCTATGCCTAGATCATCCCTGACCACCAGCTCGCCAACCTCTTCTTGAAGACGGCCAGCGATGGGGAGTCCACAACTCCCCTAGGCGTAGGCCTAGATGCACCCAGATCAACCACTGGGACCAGTGGCTGTCCAACCTCTTCTTGAACCCCGTCAGTGATGGAGAGCCCACAACTCCCCTGGGCCTCCCTGCTCTACCCGGGAAGAAGCGTCTCCCGAAGGTCCAACCTAAGCCAACTACTAAAGCCTCGTTCCACCGCGCATCAGCAATTCAACGTTCTCGGGAGATGGGGACTCGGACGCCGTAAGCCCTGGGCATTTAAATGAGTATTTAAATGAGCCACGCTGATTGGAAGAGCTTACGAAGAGGCCGAGAGGGGCCCGTCTCTGAACGCCCGGCAGCTCGGGGCCAACGGGACTTCTCAGGGGAGGTCGGCCCCTTAACTGGAGGCTTTTGAGTGGATCTATCCGATCCGAAAATGCCCAAATTGCCAAGTTAGTGTATGCTGTTACACGTCGGCCTCCTTCTCTCCCTATGCCAGTTCCCTTGGCGCTTAAAGAATCAAGTGGAGACGCTTGTCAGCATTATGCCGCCTGCCACGACTGAATTACCACATTTATTCTCTGGCATATAAAGCACAGCACAAGAACGCCTGCTGGGAATCCGGTGCATGTTATATGCAGGGCAGGGCCACATCCGTCACGTGTACAAGCACCCCAAGTCCCACAAGTGAAGATCTTCCCTTCCTTCTGCCTTTCAAAAAGCAAGGCACACGCGTGTTCGTTGGAGGCACCTCGTATGCCGAGATATACGGTTTTTAAATCAAGCGGAAATATCCCCAGGAGAGATGGGGACGACCTCCACGCTTCTCCTGGCCGCCTTCCCGCCCCTCCTCGCCTGCTGCTTTTGGACAG